GAAAATTCAGCACTTGTCGTAGAGATGGCATGTTATATATGTATGTGGAGATTTTTCCCATTGGTCTCATTCTGTATACCCTCAGCTGAGAGTTGGCTCTAATCTCAGCAGTAAGATCAAATAATTTTTATTCTGAAATTAGAACATCTTCGTCGTGGTCTCTGTGCAGTCCCACACATGGGTTGGGCGCCTGCGCATGACCTCGACTGGAGAAACTTCTAGAGCATTGCCTCAGAAAGCTTTTGGCGGCCACCTCCCACTCAGTTCTTCTTTGACAGCCTGTGTGTTCACACCTCGTTTTTGTTGCACCATTGTTGCCTTAGCTAAGTATAAATTTCTCTTTTTTCTCTCTTTCGTTCCCTTCCATCTTCACTCTTCAACGTTTCTTGTTCTTGAAAAAATAAATTAAATACTTCTTTTTCTCCTTTTCTCACCCCCCTTCATTTATAGTGAGTGGGGTAGAGAACGTATGGGCAAAACAAAGTTTTTTAAACTGTGCCGTTATTGCCCAACTAAACTTCCCTCAAACGACGGTCACGATTTGTGCCTGTTTTGCCTCGGGGAATCCCATAAAGTCGATCCCTGTATTCATTGTGCTAGTTTTACTAGACAAGCTCGACGTAATAGGGAGACTCACCTTAGGGCTCTGCTTTTAGAGGCAGCCTTGCGCCCTGCCATGGCTTCAACTGTTTCTAAAAAATCAGAATCCTCTTCGAAGGCACCAAAGTTAAAATCTACACGGCCTGAGGGTAAGGCTTCCTCGCAATCGAAAGTCAAGCCCTCAACATTGACTTAGGCTGTCGACCCAGTCGTCATTACTGGTTTAACGACATCGACCCCTGCTGTGGCTGTTGTACCTAACAAGTCCACTTTGCGGCCTCCGACACCTACGCTCTCTTCAGCCTCTGGCCTTATTCCACTGGGTCAATCTACGAGATCTCTTCCGGACTTGTCTTGTCACCGGGATTCTCGATCTCCGACGCCACACTCCCATACCCCGATCCACCATTTGGAGGGCAGGGAGCATTCTGCTGGCCATCGATTTCGATCTCAATATGATCGAAAGCGTCTTATTCGTCGCCAGTCACCTTCTCCTTTGGGATCGCCTTCTGATGACAAATACTGGTCTGATGAACGAGATCGACCAGATTATTATCTGTATTATTATCCGAGGTCTCCTACTCCTCGTCGACACTGATACAGTCACCTTCGTCACTTCGAACGTGATGACTACCCACGCACTTTAGATCGCGCGAGACAATCTCAGTCCGTGACTTCGGCCCGTTCTGTGGCCCCTGACCAGCCTCCTGACCTCTCGAGGCCTACGGATGCCCCTAAGTGTTCTCTCTCAGAACCTGGGCTTCATCCCCCTGTTGATGACTCGATACTGCCTGATCTCACTCAAGAGAGGAGACCTTCCTCTCCCATGTCAATTTCCGACAACTCGGATTCGACAGATCTCGAACTCGATGTTTCGCACATTGACGATGACCTTCGACCCTTGGGGTCTATTTCACCTACTGAAGGCCCGAAAGCGTATCTGGAGCTTGTAACCAGGTTGGCATCCGCCCTTCAAGTCCAGGGTTCCACTGAATCCCCGACTGTGACTGATATCATTCACAAACTTTTTCAGGCTGACCTCCCACCTTCGACGGTCCTGCCTCTATTGCCGGCCCACCTCTCCACTCTTAAGGAGACATGGGTTCATCCCGCTTCCATTCCTCCAGTCGCTAAACGATACGAAGCTCTCTATAAGGTCCAAGAGAGTTTGGGAAAGTTTCTCTTCAGCCAGCCTCCGCCGAATTCCATGATTGTCCAATCTTCTTCGAAATCGAAGCAATCTGCCCACCACTCTGCACCTCCCGATCACGAAGGCCGCAAGATCGATCTTATCGTGAGGAAACTGTATTCCTTCGCCTCTATGAATATTCGTATTGACACCTACCTGTCATATCTGTCGGCCTATGCCTTTAATGTGGCTAATGTGGTCCGTCCCATCTTACAGTTTGTTCCGGAGGAACACCGTCCAACGTTGTCAGGAGCTTTATCAGAAATTTGCACGATCTTGAAACAGCAAATTAATTCAGTCCGTCATGCTGTCACTTGCTCCTCGAAAGTTCTTGTCTCCTCTATTGGTCTCTGTCGTCATGCTTGGCTAAGAGGTACCTCTTTACAGCCCGATGTGAAATTCCGGATTGAGAATCTCCCCTTCAATGGCGAAGGTCTTTTCCACTCTACCACTGACGAAGCCTTAAAGGCTGTCGATGATAGTCGGAAACATGCTCGCAATCTCGGTGTCTCGGCATTGACACCTCGACGTCGATACCGTCTGTGGAAACCTTATTATGCCAGACGTCAGCCATCTCCTGCGCCCACCTCCCATTGGAGAAGGAGGCCCTATGACTCCCGTTATCCTAAACCTCTGGCTAAATTTCTTCCTTGAAAACCGTCAGGGCAGGGTAAGTGCTACATATGAATAGCTGTTAAAAGGCACCTGGCTAAAATGCCTGTCAAAATTTTATTGTTTGCTTCAGTAAACCTGCTGGTCTACAGGCCTCAAATAATGCTGTATCTAAAACGTGTGGGGAATGTGGGAGTTTTTCTTCAATTAAGACTTTATTCCTTGTGTACAGCTTCAGTGACTTGTCTTCTAATGTTTTTTTGAACCGAACAGCTAAATGGATAGCATGCCTTATCTTTTCTACTTGAGGGGGGGGGGACCCTGAAAAGATGGTTTACACTTGAGAATTTACACATGATTGATTATCCTGAGCTAGACCAACTGACTTCTGTGGTCCTCTTAAATTGGAAGTGTTGTTTCCGTTCCTCTTTTTTAGTTCTTGAATAGTAGAATTATATTATTAGTTCTGGAATTGGATTCTGCACAGTTTTCCACAGCTGCAGTTCATCCTTCCCCCGTATTACTGAAGTGCTCGGGTGCCATGCATTGATAGAATAGGAACAAGGCAATTTTGATGGGTTGATGGATCAAGATGCTTTTGGATTGATGGTTTTGTGATGTGTATTTGTATGCCACACTGGAAGCTGCAGCAAGTTGCACAGGTGTGATGCTCTGTGAAAAATCTAGCTTTTTGTTTTCATTCCAAATTCCACAAGAATGGGAATTCTTGCAGAATTAGAAAACAAGACGAGGTGATTCAGAACTCCAGAATCTGGGGAGAATTTTGGAAGCATCCTTAGTTAAAGCTCAAGTTGTTTCACTCTCCAATGTGTTCATGTTGATCACATTCCCCAAGTAGGGGGGGTGCATTTTTTTTTAATTTGGTACATTTTGGGTTGGGTGTATTGGACCTGGGGGGAAATGGTATTTCCAAAATAATCCTGGATCCCAATACCGGTACAATATTCGAATCTGGGTTTTCCCAGAAATCCTGGATTTTTTCCGGGTCCAATAGACCCCACAAGAAAAAACACTGGATTAAAAAAAGCCACCCTGATCCTGGGACTAGCTTGGCTTCTCCTGTACTACAGGAAAAGCCAGCTTCAGAATCTGCGTGCCGTGGGGAGATCGCTCCCCAAGGCATGCAGATCCTGACCGGGACGGCTTCTCCTGCAGCCCGGTTTAAATTGGTCTGCACGAAAAGCCAGCCCCAAGCTGAGCTGGCAGGAACAGTCTTGCTCCCCCCAGCACAGCCGATCCTGATGCTTGGGCTGTCTTCTTTAAACTTTAAAGGGACTGTAGTAGAAGCCTGACAAACAGCTGTAGGTGGGAGGAATCTGCTCCTGCCTCACCTCTGTTTTCAGATCGACCGGTAAATCCTGAATATATCTGGGAATTTCTTTTTGAGGATTTTCCTCAGTTTTCCCCAAGAAAACCCAGATACATTTGGGATGCCAAAATGTATGTGAAAAATACAGAGAAGGCGTTTTTTCAGGTATTTTTTCAGTTCAGGTAGACTGGAATGCACACCCCTACCCGCAAGTCAGGACTTGTATTCCATTCAGAATTTTGATGCAGAGCGAAATGGGGGCTGTTTAGGTTTCTGACATCAACAGAGTTGTGACCCTGCTTCTGTGGAGCTTCTAAGTCTGTCTCTTTGGGGGAAACATCTGAGAACCATTGCTTAAGGGCAAACTCTACCCTGGACAGCTTCCTAAGAGACCGACTTACATGAACAGCAAAACTGCTTGGAATACAGGGATTTAACCCGCCGCTTTGAAGGCAAGCGAGAGTTGGTTTGTGGCAGTCGGAAGCTTAGTTTGCAGGGAAGCCATCCGTGCTAACTCTCCGCTAACTTCCTGTGACAGGGGGCTGTATGTTTATACTCACGGTCTCCAGAGGCAGACCAGTCTGCACACAAAAGCAGGTGCCAGGGGAATGCATTTCCCCTTGCAGTTGTGCATGTGACTCTAAGGAAGCTCGCTCCATGTGTTCAGAGTCCCTGATCGGGTGCCGAGTGAGTTCCCCAAAAAAAGTACAAAAACAGTGAAGCTGGTACTAGTTAGTGAAAGTGTTGCTGCTGCGAAGTTTTGCGTAACTCAATTTTGGCTGTGTGCTTTCAGTAAGATTTTTAATAGTTGACAAAGGCCTCTCACCCTACCTATTTTGTGTGGGTCTGAACTGCCAAGTCCTATTGTATTAGAAAATGAAGTGTGTGTGAGAGACAGAGAATTAGATCAAAATTTAGGTGTCTGTCTGGGACAAAAGGCCAACAGGGTTTTCATTCTTCATGCCGTCCAATCTTTGTGTACAGTTCGAATTGCAAAAAGTCTTGAGGCTTTTGATCATATGACTGAGACTTTTACTGTTCTGCAAAATAGAATAAGCTAAGTGTAATCAAACTCATTTCACTTTGTGGTTGTTTAGCAAATAGAGTTTACGTATTTATACGCAGTTGGAAAACCCCGTTTGCAGGGGAAAGTCTTATTTCTGAATCCATTGAGCAAGGCTTTCCCGTGTGTCCAGAATTTAACATTTAAAGATGTTCTTGATCGGTCAACGTAGTGGGAGAATAATCACCACTCCCTTTTCTTTTCAGATCCAAAGATCGTGCAGTATTATTTCAATTTGGGTTTGCAGGTAAGTGGTGTTCCAAGATCCCTTGGTCAACTCATTGAGAGAGGATTGTCTTCCCTTTCAGAGTCCACAGCTGTTTCTTCACGGCTGAGGTCTTCCGGTGTCCTGTCTGGACTTTTGCGTGTGTTTGTACTTGGATAGCTAAACCCCTAACTTAGACCTTTGACAAAAGACCTGGGTCAGGGAATCCTGACTCTCCACTGAATCTTTTTAAAAAACGTACTGCTGCCTCTGCCTCTTGTGCTTTGTGCCCCTGACTGCTTTAACTCCCTTGGAGTTCAGAGAGAGGGACGTGCCATCCCTGAGTCAAAACTGGACAGAAAGGGACAGAATATCACAAGCGCCCAGCTGGTTCACACCAAAAAGTCCCATCTAGCCAAAATGTCTTGTTTCCCACAGTGGCCCCGATTGGATCCCACTGGAAAGTCTGCAAGTGAAACACAGGGGCCAAAGCCTCCCTTGTTGTCCCCAGTGATGGGCACGCAGAGGTGCACTGCCCCTGGACACGGAGGTGCCATTTTGTCATCGTGGCTTGATAACGTGGCCTTTTCACGTGTGGCCAAATGAAGTTGCGCACTGCACCAGCACTCCATCCATTTTAGCAAAGGGGGGGAAACACCGTGCATCCCCCTCCCATTGGTTTCCAGTAGCCATTGAGTGACTCTCCTGAGACATCACAGAATGTGGATCAGATCCAGATGAAGTTTTCCCTCAGCAAAATGGAACTTTCTTCCCTCTCATCTCCCACAGCAACCCACAAATATCCACGAAACACTGTTCCTGGGGATAGGAGACCCTGAAGAATGGCACAAGGTGGGGGGGGAAGGGGGTCCACAACAGGAAGGGGGAATCAGTTGAAATTGCCAATTTAGTCAGTATCCAACCCGACATCACTGCTGTGGGGAATCAGTTGAAATTGCCAATTTAGTAAGGATCCAACCCTACATCACTGCTGTGCAGTAGAACTTGCTGGCCAGATTTCACTATCTCCTGCTTCATTTGACTGCATGAAACACACATTTATGCAAACCTTCTTCCTCCCCCCCTTCAAGTATTATCACCAGACCTGTTGGAATCCTATGATGTATGTACAGCCGGTGCCACCGTCCCCACACATGGAAGCTTACCAGACATACACAGAGCCTGTCCCTGTCATGGACCATTCGATGGTGCCCGCATACCCTGAAACTGGGAGGAGCGACATGCGCCAGATTCCAGCGGATCCCTCGGCAAATGGTTAGTACCTGGGCTGAACAGAAGATTACATATTGCTTGCTTTTGGGGGGCACTGCAAATATACTTTCTTTGCTGCGTGTAAATGCATCCCTGTGCTTCAGTGGGTTTAAGGGCCCGAGTGGAGTCACGTGGTGTGACGTCGTGCTGGAGGGGGTTTGATCTGCACCGTGGCATGTCAGGGGTTACTAGTAACCTGGATTAAAATGAAATGCAAAGAAACCTTTAAAGACTTGCAGAATTATTGTGGCATGTTTATGGCTGTTTGGGGTGGGACCATGGCTCAGTGGCAGAGTATCTGCTTGGCATGCAGAAAGTCCCACGTTCGCGTCCCCCCCCCTCCTGCTAAAAGGATCCAGTAGGAGATGATGGGAAAGAGCTCTGCCGGAGACCCTGGAGAGCCACTGCCAGTCTGCATAAACGATACTGACCTTGATGGACAGATGGTCTGAGACGGTCTAAGGCGGCTTCATGTGTTCATGGATTAGAGTCCACTTCATCAAGCACTTGGCAGATAAATATACGAAGCGTATAGGAGAAAAAAATGCAAGCAGTGAGGCTGACAGGAGAGGAAAGGCACAAAGTATGGGCTATAATTTCGGTGCAAAGAATGGACGTATCCAGAATAACAGCAGTGGCCGTTACACCAGCAGCAGTAGGGTCAGGATGTCTAGAAAGATTGACTAATTTAGCAGTTGTTGTGTGAGAGAGGAAACCTCTATGATGTTTGTGGTCTTGGATAGTTCTAGGCATCCTGAACAAATTATGATCGAGCAATACCAAGGCTGGAGAAGTCATCCTGCGATGATGCTCTGGTGGATTTTCATGGTGACGTGAAATTTAGCAAAAGCATGTCCTCGGAGGCTGAAGTATTCTGCCTCTGGCTTCTGGATGTTGCTGTGTGCTGGGCCTTCGGTGTCCTCTTATTCTTTGGGGTTAGAGACCGACTTGCACGTGTTGTGTGGGCATTGTTGGCCTGCATGGCTGTGAATGGCCCCTGGGCTGATGTTTTGGGCTTTGCATAGAAATGTCAGACTACCTCATTGCAGCACATTGTCTTTGACAACTCCTCGTCCGCACACACACTGTTTGCCGAGTCTGCCTGCCTCAGTGCAGAGAGAGATCTCTGTGCCAATTGAGGGGTATACCGTGCATCTGATGAAGCGGGCTTTGCGCCATAATAAATCTGTTAGCATTTAATGTGCTACAAAGCATCATTGTTTTGCTCTAACAGAATAATACGGCTGCCCCTCTGGAATTTGTGAACGTGGCTTAAAATGGGAGGTTTAATTTACTCCAGGTCGACAGCTGGAATTAAATTGCACCGCTTATGTGCTTTATAAATCGACAGTGCCTCTTGGGGCAGACTAGCCTTCTTTTTGGGAGTAAATTTGGCAGTATTTTCAGGAGAGCCAAAATGAGACACGTTTGGTTTGTGTGCACGCATGTAGGCTTTTAAAGAATCCCTTTGGTCCTTGCTGATAAGGTAAATGTAGAGCTGGCCAGAGGCAAAGTGTGGCAGCGATCTCAAGTAGTTCTGGGGACTGGCCACTGCTCTGACTGCATTAGGGCTGCCAACCCCCCCGGTAGGGCGGAATTCCCCCCGCCCCGGAGGCCCGTTACCCGACGCCGGGGAATCGGGGCCCGGGGGGAACTCCGCCCCGGCGTGCGCGTCACCCGGAAGTGACGTCGCACGCTGGGGGCGGGGCCATGCCATTTGAGGGGAAAACTCTTTGTTTTCCCCTCAAATGGCGTGGCCCCGCCCAGCGCGTGACGTCACTTGCGGTGATGTTCTGGCGGCGCGCGCGCATCCGCAAAAGGCTCCCGGACCAGCTGGACGCTCCCCCGCCGGCAAGTTTTGCAGATTTGGCAACCCTAGACTGCATCCTGCATAGGAACCAGAGCGGCCAACATTTATTTCTTTAAAATATTTCTAACACCACCTTTCTACCCAATCAAGGTCCCTAAGGCAGCACACGTTAAAAACACTAAACAATTGAATCATTACTAACAACATTTAAAATGAGAAAATAGTTCAATAAAAACACATAAATACAAAACCAAAACTAGGGAGGAGGACAAATAATGGTTACTGGGAGTCTGCCAAATGAGACAAAAAGTTATTCACCCGCTGGTGGAAGAAACAAATAATTTTGGTGCCACGACCGAGAAAACCCTTTCTAGGGTTGCCACTCGTCCAGCCTCAGATGGTGCGGGCAGCTGAGTCAGAGCCTCTGAAGACGACTGGAGTGAATGGGCAGTTTCCCATGGGAGAAAGGCGGTCCTTCAAGTATGTTGGTCCCAGGCTGTGTAAGCTGTAAAGGTCAACGTTAGTGCCTTGAATGGAGCCGGGAAGCAAATAGGGAGCTTTCCCATTCCATTCCCCAGCCATTTTTTAAAGAATGTTTTATGCCACCATCCCAGGAAACCTAGAACCTTCAAACACAGTGTGGCAAGTCATTCATGTGCCGTGTTTTCACAAGAGGTTCAGGAAGCCCTACGGGTCATGCGTGGCTTCCTGCGCTGTGTCTAACGATGCCTGAGGAATGGAGAGGGGAAGGGTAGGGTTGCCAGCTCCAGGTCTGGAAATAACTGGAGATTTGAGGGTGGAGCCTGGGAGCCTGGGCCTTAGGGAGGGGCCTTGGTATGGTATAATGCTGTGCAATCCACCTTCCACACGTGGACTCCCGTGCTCTCCAGGAGAAGTGGAACAAATGTTTTAACTAAATAAGTGAGGGTCAGTTGTAATTCCAGGAGATCTCCAGTCCCTGCTTGAAAGCTGATAACCCTAAGGATGGGGCATTATCTACTCTGGATCTTATCTAGGGGGGGGGAGATGGAAGAGGCAGCCGCTTGGGGGGGGAGAGGTAGGCCTTAGACGCCGCCCCTTGTTCAGCTGCCACTGGGTTGACCCAAGATATTTTTGTGCCAAAGCAGAAAACTCAAATAGTATGCCTTCTTCCACTCTGATGTATGCACTTGTTTCTCAACTGACAACAAAAGGTGCATTCTGCTAGTAAGTTCTCCTGTGTGAGGTCAGTGCAGTGAAGGACAGCTGCTCAAGGTCTGCTTTTGCAGGAGTGCTTCTTTCCCACAAGGGGGAATCGCTGCTTCAAAACTCCCCTCCCCCCCATTTCCCTCTATTTTCTCTTAGCTCTCCCTTGAGCGGCTCATTCGGGCATAATAGAACTGCACACGATTCGGTTTTCATTGAGGTGTGTATCTGTTGACTCAGAGCAGCCGAAATTTTGATCAGGAATCTACTGTGTGCTTGCTGATGGTTGGTGTGGGGGGGGGGGGGGGGGGGTATTTTTCTTATCAAAACTGTCCTCTCCAAGCTTGTTTTCAACTCACAGAAGAGATATGGGTGTTCATATCTTTTCCCCGCATGGGATGAAAAACTGCTTTAAGGGAGTTATTTCGATAAGGTGAATAGCCTTGGGGAAAGAAGTCGGCACCTTTTCCTCTGCGTAAAAGGTGTGATTCAAATTGTCGCTTCTCTCAGCGGGTTGAGATGGAGGGGGAGGAACCCATGCCTCTGACCACATCTAGTTTGATCCTTAGCGGTCTCTTCCTCTCTAATGCACGTTAAAAGGAATGTTTGCAGCTATTAGGACCCCAACCCACTGAGTTATGTGACTGCTTCTAAAGTACAAGCTTTGCAAATTATTTTTAGCAACAGCAATAGGATAATTGCATGGTTTAATGAGAATTATACATGCAGTAAGGTTTATGCCTGGCTCAGCACCTATTGCTAGGCATTTGTGTGCACACAAATTTTGAAAGAAATGCTGGGATGAGAATTGCTAAAAAATTTATTATCTACACAAATTGGCAACATCGTGTAGTTTATTGATTGGTCTATAAACCTGTTAAAACTTGAATTGATTAATCAGGGCACATTTTAAATTGGAGGGGGCCAGTTTTAATCAGTGGGGTTGATTGTTTAGGGCATACCGTCTTTTGAAAGTTTTTTTTTTGTGGTGAACACACAAAGCTGCTTTCTCATGAGTCAGACCATTAGTCTTTCAAGGTCAGTGTGGTCTACTCTTGAATGGCAACAGCTTTCCAGGGTCTCTGGGGGAGCTCTCTCACATCACCTACAACCTGAGCCTTTTAACTGGAGATGCCTGGGAGTGATTCAAGGGTTTTCTCATGCAAAGCAGATGCTCCAGCACGGAGGGCCACCCCCTCCCTGGATTTCTGTGCTGTAATATGTTAAAAACAAAATATTTGACACGATCTCTTCTAGCAATGCCTGGTTGTTTTTTCTCTTCCTCTTAAATTTGTAAGATCTTGCACTTCCTTCCATGTCTCACAAAGGCACCTATAATGAGGCTTTGTTAATATGCAAATGCATTTAATTAGTTAAAAGGCAAGTGATTAATCAACTAAAAGCTCTTTAATCGGTTGACAGCTCTGGCAAGCCTAGTCAGATTAAGAACAGCTTTCAGTGTTTTTTTCTTCAGTCACTGGCCTTTAGAAGGTAAAAAAGAGGGTTTGAAAAATCAGCGAAGATGTTATCTGGTGATTTAAGCCAATGTTTCCCCCCCCCCCCCCGCGTTATCCATTGGAGACCCACCGCCTCCCCACGGTACAGTTTATTATCCAGTGGTCACGGATCCGTACAACCATCCGCCTCCACCTGGTTTTGACACTTGCATCCCCTTAGCTCCTGCCTACCACTGCGTCAGCCCCTGGTATCCAGTGAATCTACCCTATGGGAATTCTTCACGAATCCATAATGCCGTGAATCCAGGCCACTTTCATCAAATCAGCTATGTTGCCTCGTCAAATCCTGCGCCACATTATGTAGCTCAAAGTATGTAGAAGGGGGAGGATGAAATCACTCAAGTATTCCTGGTTTGTTTATTTCCCCCTCACCTCAATTGTTTCCTTCACAAGATGCTTAGGTCTGATTTTTCACTTTTTTTTGTAACATAAATGTTGATTTGTAAATGGTGGGGTGTGGGTGGGTGTTTAATACTATACTAGCATGTATATAGGACGCTGTGTGACATTCCACTTACATGTAAGATACCTCATTGCTGCTGAAGCAACACCACTTTTTGTGGTTTTCCCGGGAGTCGAATGGGTTGTGTGACATGTTTTCTTAAGCCAAAATATCTTGATATTGTGCAAAACTGATTGCTTTTTGTATTCTAGCGGTTTAATTATAATTCCGGTACGTGTCTCCCTTTGCCCCTGTCGGTGAGAAAACAGAAGATTCTTGGGGTTCTGAGGACAGTAATTGCTCTGTTTTCCCAGCACTTCCGAAACAAAGTGTAATCTACCTGGTATATTAGTCTGTAGAACGTTCTCTTGTTTTAGTGTGGCCTTTTTTTGAAAGGGGAGGGGATGTCTTTGTCTGTGTTCTGTGCTGCTAAAGTCTGTCATCTGTGTGACATTTGATTTGTAAAAGACACTTTTGCACTGATGGTTTCTACGGAACGGTTGGGGTTTAACTGGGCACGAACTGCACTCAATAAAAAACTAACGGACACACTAACCCTGGTCTTTTATTGTCTGTCATTCATTGAGAAAGAAAACAAAGTTTGAGTCCAGTGGCATCTTTGAGACTTAACAAAATTTAATAAGCTTTTCTGTGCATGCACGCTTTGAAGAAGTCTTAAAGGTGCCACTGGGCTCAAACTTTGTTCTGTTGCTTCAGACCAACGTGGCTACCCACCGGAATCTATATACACTGAGAAAAGGAACCTGCAAACCAGATTCAGGTCTGATGGGGGGACCCTTTGGCATTCTATGTATTATAGGGAAGAGATTCAGTGAGTCTCTGCATCTGTGAGCTGGACGATCATGGCTGAAGTGTTGTAGCTTAGTCCTTTCCTAGATATAACACAACACAACGGATGAAATAGAGCATTGCCTTTGCATATCTATCTCGGTAATTTTGGTGCCTTTAAATGCCTGCCTGCGTGCATCAGAAAAACCTTACCCAGCCACATTTAAGTAGTCTGTTCCATGCCTGGTGGTGTGTTGGGAATTTGCATGCCAGCACAGCTCCCATCCAGACTACAGTGAGGTGAACCATGCTAGATTTAAAAAGCACTGGCCAGGTGGGCCATGCATGTGCAGAATGTCAGGTTGTGTTTCCCCTTATGTCTTTTCCTGTACTCATTAGGATAATTTTAATCTGAAGGGGAATCTTTCTTCCTCTTGGTCAAACTTCATGACTTCTACAAGGTTTACTACTTCATGGCTTCCTATGAGCTTTACTGCCTCTGGTAAGCTGTGCATGTGGAATCTAGCAATTTCACAGCAGGCCAGGTTGCAGATAGCCACATTGGTTGAATAGCAAAATCCAAAACAAAAAGCCATATAATACCTCCTTTTTTTCTTTCGCTAAGGGCCAGACTTGATGTGATGCATCCTTGTGGAGGCCATAAGAACACAGTCACATCACGTTTGGGCCTAAGACCACAGGACGACGTGCAAGCTATCAGCTTCTCAGTGAAATTGTGTGGAGTTACATCCCATCGACAAGCCGTCAGAATGAATTGGTGGGGTGACTCTTCCATTGCCTTTCCCTTCTCCTAGTAACGTCCCATTTCCAGAAATCCTTGCTGAGGGATGGGGGGCCCTCATCGACACAGTGCACCCCACTATGAGGGGCTGTAGTGAGGGGGGGAGGAGTCACATGACATGGTCCAAAACAGAATTCCTTGTCCTGGGCGCCAGCTGTTCTCTGCAGTTTCAGAAGCTGTGACTTGGTCGTTCAGAGGTGAATGCCCCCAATCCTAACTGCTGGAAAACACTACCTTGACTTCTGTATTCCGAATGGGGTTTGCTGTTTCTTGATTTCATGTTTTTCTGGGGATATCGAAACTTCTATCAGCTCTTAAGATAGGGGAGACAGGCCCCTTCAGTGGTGGTGATTACAACAGTCTCGAAGTCCTTACATTTTCTTCCATTATCGCATAAAGATCCTGTAGATACTAAAGTATGTTATTAGGATGAACCAAAATGCCATACAACAGTGCGCAAGCTTATGAGTTCTCCAAAACTCTTCATTGATCTGGCTGCTTTTAAAAATTGGAAAGGGGGGGGGGGAACGGGCTGTTTCAAGCCACGATTCTAAGGCCTCCTCTGAGATCCTTGTGTGAAATGCTGAGCCGGTATGTAAATTTGAAGTGGTGCTGGTGTTGGGTTGCATTCTGGGGCAGGGATTCCCCAAACTTTCCGAGTTTGTGAGTGCCTTTGAAATTCTGACACAGTGTGGTGGTGGCAGCCGCTGCCAAAGCAATGTTCTTTAAAACACTGCACAGCCTGTCAAACCTCCAGTGGCCAATCAAAAGCCCCACGTGGCCCTGTCCAATTTCTAAAAACGTTTGGCAGTCTCCAGAAAAGGTGTCAACTGGGGCAACATTGGGGACCCCGGACCTAGGGAAAAGAAGCAAAACATGGAGGCCTCCCACTGGAAATATAAAAAGCAGCTAATCCTAAAGCCTCCGACGCTGGGTGGAGACCCCGTGTCTATGTTTCCATGTCGGGGTCGTAGCACAGTGGCAGGGCACCTTTTTTGCTGTTTCTTTATTCCCAGCGTTTCTGACGGTTTCCCACCAAGCTGGTTCCCGAGGCAGCTTGTCATACATCTAAAATATGGTAACAATAAAACAGTCCAAATGTGCTCATAAAAACAGCTATTAAAAAATCCAAAATCTTAAAACCAGCACAGAGCTATAAAACAAGCTTGAAGCCAAAGACAGTCTTTACACTAAGCAAGCTGGAGCCTAATTTAAGGCATCACATTAAACAGTTGATGGAAACCACATCTAATAGTGTTCCCTAGCGGTCAGAGGGCAACCCATTTATTTACTCATTTATTAATGAAAATGTTTATAATCCCCGTCTGGAAGCAGCCTTTGAGCACTAAATTTGGCATTTCCTCCTATCTTAGATTTGGTAGTTTACAGTAGAAGGAAATGCACTCACGCACACAAACCTTATAACAGGCATACTTGCTCCTGTTTTTTTGCATTCCACAGAGAAAGGTATGGCACTTTTGGTATTCCAGTTTGGTGTAGTGGTTAAGTGCACGGACTCTAATCTGGGAGAACCGGGCTTGATTCCCCACTCCTCCACTTGCAGCTGCTGGATGACCTTGGGCAAGCAATAGTTCTGTCAGAGCTGTTCTTGAAAAAGAGCAGTTTCTGTCAGAGCTCTCTCGGCCCCACCCACCTCACAGGGTGTCTATTGTGGGGAGGGGAAGGGAAGGGAGTTTGTAAGCCGCTCTGAGGCTTCGAGTGAAGGGCGGGGTATAAATCTAATCTCTTCTTCTTCTTCTTTTCCCCCTCATAAACTTGGATTAATAATCTCTTGGGCATACATTTGAATCACCCCAAGTCAAAACTTCTTATTTTTCCTTCCCATTTGAGCTTTTGTGCAGCGAGAGTCTATTAAAATTAAAAGTGGATTCTGAGCTTCCCTCTCATGACCACTATGCAAAAGGAGTTGTGCCGGAGAAGAAGAAGAAGAAGAAGAAGAAGAAGAAGAGATTGGGTTTATACCCCGCCCTTCACTTGGAGTCTCAGAGCGGCTTACAAACTCCTTTCCCTTCCCCTGCCTAAAACAGACACCCTGTGAGGTGGGTGGGGCTGAGAGAACTCTGACACAAACGGCTCTTTTTCAAGGACAGCTGTGCCAGAGCTTGTGACTGACCCAAGGTCATCCAGCCAGGTGCAAGTGGAGGAGTGGGGGAATCAAACCCGGTTCTCCCAGATTAGAGTCCGCGCACTTCACCACTACACCAAACTGGCCTTGGGGCTTGGCCTGCCCTGGAGGAACACCGGACCCTCCAACTCCTGCCTCCTTTCCCCTTCGCTGGGCCAATAGCCTGTCAATCATCCAGCATTTTGTCCTTGAGCTGGCATTCTGCTCATCAACAGAAAGCAATCTTTAGGAATTATCAGGGACTTTGCATATTCTGCAATTGCACAAGAATTTTTAAGAAACTTTATACCCCTCTTTTCTCCCCAATGGGGACCCACAGCAGCTTGCATAGTTCACCTCCATTTCATCCTCACAACAACCCTGTGAGGTAGGTTAGGCTGAAAGTGTGTGACTGGCCCGAGGTCGCCCTGCAAAGCCTCCATGGCGGAGTGGGGATTTGAACGTGGGTTTCCCAGATCCTCATCCCAACACATTATAAAAAAGGAAAGGAAAAGAAAATAGGACACATTACTGGACATGGGATGCAGCTACTGAAGAGTTTTAGCGTGCTCGTTTGTTTTTTTAAAGTCAAGTCTCTAGTCCTTATGACTGCAAATATAGCCTCAAAAGTATACAGGCCATGTCTGCTTAACTCTCAAGAGTGAGATGTTGTAAATCTGCATAAAGATCTCTGGTTCGTCTTTATGGCCGACTAGCCATGGCAGGAGCCTCCAGTTTGGACCGGGGCAAAGAGGGGAAGGAGTTTTATCCTTTCTCCTGTCTTCCTCCCAACCTCTAAAGCAGCACCACCAGCTGCAATTTTCCTCTTAAGGGGAAGCATGGAGCTTTAATGTTGCCTGAATCTTTCTCCCACTGAGGCAGGGAGCAGCTCTGGAGAGCCATTTGAGGTCAAGAAAACAGTGTGAGAGAAGGGTTAGTCCCCCTCCCCCAGCCCCCAATCCAAATTGGGTCCCCTGCCTGTTGTTCAGCAGTAAATGATGTGCTGGAGAGCCATTTGTGGTGTAGTGGTTAAGAGCATGCACTCTAATCTGGGAGAACTGGGTTTGATTTCCCACTCCCAAGTGCATATCTGCTGGTGTGACCTTGGGTCTGTCATAAGTTCTTTCAGAGCTGTTCTCTCGAGGACAGTCCTCGAAAAA